AATTTTGTTTCTGGTGTCCTTCGACAGCTCTTTGGTCTTCACCATAGTGGAGTTTGGAGTGTGACTGTTTGAGGTTGTGGACAGGTGTCTTTTATACTGATAAGTTCAAACAGGTGCCATTGATACAGGTAATGAGTGCAGGACAGAGGAGCCTCTTAAAGAAGAAGGTACAGGTCTGCGAGAGCCAGAACTCTTGCTTGTTTGTAGGTGACCAAATACTTATTTTCCACCATAATTTGCAAATAAATTTGTTCCAAATCAGCCAATGTGATTTGTCTGGATTTGTTTTCTCATTTTGTCTCTCACAGTTGAGGTCTACCTATGATGCCAATTACAGGCCTCTCTCATCTTTTTAAGTGGGAGAACTTGCACAATTGGTGGCTGACTAAATACTTTTTTGCCCCACTGTAATTGAACTTATATGGCAACATGGCCATATTAGGTAATTGTAATTTACAAATATATCCATGTGGCCATATAAGTTCAATGACGTTGCAGCATCCCACCCCTTTGCTTATGTGCTTCTACCGGCAGGGAGTTCTCCAGTCACAGCCCCGTGACCACACAAAAAGGTCCCCTCCAGCAAGAACAAAGGCCGAAATTAAAAACAAAGGTACTAACCTTTTTCTGCTAAACAACATTTACTATATGAATGAAAAATGATGCAAATAAAACATAATGTACAACACTAAATTATTCTGTTAGAAGTGCATATTCATATTACAAGTTCATATTGGTGCAATTACCTTCTGTAAATTGTTTTAATGAAATGTTTTACTTTTTGTTATATTTAAGCGAAGAGGTGTTGCCAAAGATCCATGCAGGAGAAGAGTATCCATGTACACTAGTGGGGACTTGGAATACATGGTATGGAGAACAAGATCAGGCAGGTAAGTGCAATAAACACCAGCAGCATCAGCATTAGTTTAATAATGAATTGCTTATCTGGCCACTTGAGCACCCTAAATATAGAGAATATGCCCTAACAAAGTTCATCAAAGTTTATAGGGCGTATCTCCTAAGTTCAACTCCCCTCCCTCTGTCACCACTCCTTCACTGTTATTAACGGGAATTACTGGATGTCAAAATGACAGCCGGGAATACGCTGTCAAAATGCAGCTACCCTTGTGTAAAACTTGCAGATTGTCACTGAGTAATGCAATGCAACAATGTATTGTTACATTGTATTTACTGTTTTTTCTGTGTGGCCTTTTACAACAAAACTACGTTTTCAAAACTAACACTGGTCAAAATCGAAAACAATTTACATTTTTCACATGAAAACCTTAAAACCCCAACATATTACACATTTTCTAAAAGCAGTGCCCCTGTAGAATAAAATGATTGCAGCTACATTTTTTATGGTGTATGATATTCACTTATCAACAACAATACATTTTCAAAAAATTTGATTTTTAATTTTAGTATTATTTACAATAATAAAAATTTCCAAATTTTCTGTAAAACATAAAAAATGAGTCAAGTAGATGGATGTCATTTATGTCAAGACTCCACTGCATATGCCTCCCACGAACAAACTACAATACTTTAAAAGTCTTTTTACAGTTCATCAATTTAGAGTCTTTAGAGAGGCTTTAAAAAATGTTTGTTTATTTTATAATTTTTTTTTATTTTAAACTTTAAATTTTTTTCTATTTATCTTTATTGCTATCAAAAAGAGGCTGATAAGCCCCGTATGTGATAGCACTTTAATGAGCGACGGGCGCTCTTAATGGAAACATCAGGCGTCCAAAAGACATGGCTCTCCTAGTCGGTAACTGGTGGCTCTTAAGTCCCCACTCGCCATCCTGATGTGTTTTGTCAACATGTCGCTTCTGTTCCCATCGTAGTAGTTAAGGCAGTGGCGGTGAAAGGATTAAGGGCTTGCTCGTACCATGTCCATTGAGCTTTTTTTTTCTTCACACCATTTCATATGTGTAGTGTCAACAAGGTACATAGAAAGCAATTGTTTTCTATGTGCCCTGTTCACACCATACATATGCGGTGGTGTGCAGAAAAACACAGCTTAACAGACATGCTATGCAAATAGTTTAGTGTTCATAATGGGGCACTGCCCCTTCTTCGGGACGCAGAAGCGATCTGGCGACAGGTGAGTCGCCAGGATCGCTTCTGTTGTAAAGCCGACAGTCGGCTCTACAAGTTTAAACAGAGTCCCGGCGGCAAAAGTCACCCTGAGTCTGTTTAAACAGCCCCGATGCTGGCGACGTACACTGTACGTCGTCAGTCACGAAGGGGTTAATATAACTATCAGCTACTGTCTGAAATAATTCTGCCAATCCCAATAGAATATGTTGTGGACAGACTTTTATTACTTTGTTACATTTCAGTTCACTTGTGGAGGTACGAGGGAGGATATCCAGCACTGACGGAGGTGATGAGTAAGCTCCGGAAAAATAAGGTAAGCCTTCCATTAGTACTATATTGTGATTTTTTTATTGTGTTTACTGTTCTTCAGACTGTAAGCTCTTTTGGGCAAGGTTCTGCTTCTGGTATTTGTGTATAATGTAAGTGCTATAGCCCCTCTGTGTCTGCTTTTTACAGTGCAGGATCAATCCGTAAGAGTAATAGTCATAAAAATTACATAACAGCAAAAACAATCAGTGTTGATATTTGCTCTTTTTAAGAAGCATGTGCTGAACAGATCTTATGGCTGTCTGTAGCAAAAATAAATCATTAGTTGACCCGTCATTTCCAGAAACATGATGCTGACATTAGCGAAAGGTGACAGCATTTAACAAGATGCACCGTAAGGTGCCAGAGCATACCTCGTTCGTGATATTTCACCCAACTCCTCACCCTCTCTTCCAAAGCTGAAGGAATATAATTTCCAAGTATGAATAGTGGCAGTGCTTGGTGCCTAGGAAACCTAGCGACAGGACTAGTCATTGTCATTTGTGGTGCCTGAAAAGCCTTTGCTCAAATCACCATTCAGAAAGTCAATTTTCATAGGACCTTTGGGGACTCTGAAGTGGGGGTGTGAGATGTCACAATACATTTATGCTAATGTGTCTTCTTTGTAATGCTGCCCTTAAGTAATATTACTAGCTCAAACAAATAGGTATACCACATTAACAAACACCCCTTTTAAACAGTGATTTTTTTTTTCCTTATCGTTCAATAAGAAGCACAGAATGTGGTTATTCTGATATAATTGGGTTATACTGCTGCTTAGGATTTGGACACCGGCAAATAAAAAATAAAAAAAGCAGATGGTCAGCCAGGTGTAATCCTTTACACTCACAGCTTGCTTCAGTTTATGCCAGTGTTCTAGGAGGGTTGGATGCTTTTCCTCTATTGAGAAAAGTTTACCTGTTTTTTTATTAGCTATTTTATTTATACTCAAGATATTTTTTCTTCACTCAAAGCATCATCTACAAGCTGCTGAGCTGGGCTATTTATGCAGCTATCTGGATCAGCTAATCCTCAGTGATGCCTTGAAGGCCATACCTGGACACTGCTGGTCTGAAAATTGCGGGGCTTGTCTGAATTGTGCCCTTCAGGCATTGGGCTCTCCCAGTGGCTCTTTCCAGACCTTCGGGTACTGTGTTAGCCACAGAATACATTTCAGGTTTAGAGCTGTGGCACAGCCTCAGGTATAACCCAGTCTTTGAAGACTCCTATTAGTATGCCTTTTGGGCTAAGCATCAGGAGCTACTATACTAATTGGTAACATTATACGCCACCATTACTCCCCTATTTCATCACTTTCTGTGTGAAGTGTTAACACACTGAGAAGTTGAATGCATCATCATTAGTTTTAGTGTTATGCACTCACTCTCCTCTCTATCCTGCCTTTTTTCATTCAGTATGAAATAGTTTCTTCCCGCCATTACCACTATCTGCAAGAGACACATGTTTTACACCTCAGTTAGTCCTTGCTGGCGACTACAAAGAACTGTCACTTTTGGCTACTAACCTCCCGCTTAAAGTGGCACTAAACTCGGGAGTTACATTTTAAAAATGCTTCCAAGTACCCGAACTATTAAAAAAACCTTATTTGTGGATCACTCGGCTGTAGATCTCCAAATCATCTATAAATTCATGCTGACAGTGTCCTTCCTTCTGGAGGGTGGTTACTTCAAGCTTGCTCTAATGATGGACTACAATCTCACATTTAGTTTTATCATTTGTATTGAGATTGTAGTCCATCACAGGCGTGAGTTTGGAGCGGTGGCTACTTTACAACACACACAGAGACCATGGGGTACAAAAGTAGCCACCCTCCAGAATGAAAAGACGGTGCCAGCATGTACTGTCCTAACAAGGGTCTTTTAGGTCTTTGTTGGATTAGTTTGTTTCTGCGGAGCCTACAGTATGTCAGCTGAAATCGCTCCCAGGCGAAAGATACCATATTGGCTCTTATCGATAATGCGCGGCTACATTTCAACTGGTGCAGCCTGTAGCTTCTACTAGTGCTGTCATCAGTCTGGCATCCCTAAAAGGTCCCAAGGCTATGAAAGTTTTAGCGGTAATCTTACTTCAACTTGTTGTGTACGGAGATATACTGTACAGTATATCCGTTTCATGGGGGTTTTGGATTGGGCCATATCCTGCCTTAATAAAACACTGATTTTACCTATCGAGGATGCTCCATTGTTTAAGGGTCCCACTGATAAATGTTTGGTAGCCCTTTCCAAATCCTTATTTTTGGTAGCAGGCCGTGCTATGCAACCTGCCATAGCTGTAATGTCTGTGTGTCAGATCTTGGAGGGGTGGTCTCAGCTCATGTCAACAGATTGAGCTACAGTCCTTACCAACCCTTGTGTTGTTGATCACTTAGAGCTTTTGCCGTCAACCTTACATTTTTGTGGTGACGTTTTTGTCAATTATATTCAACTTTCCAATGAGTCTCATATCTGTCAACATACAGACACCTGTACTCATGCAAATACTCGGTATCGCCGCCGATACCGATGCTTGTATCGGTGCATCCCTACCTTGTACCTTACGTGCTAAAATCCTGTTTTTCTTTCTTGTTCATTAAGGGATACAGGTTTCATTTATTCTTATACAATTGGGATAGCAAACAAAAGAGTAACAGGGCAACATAATAAACAGAATAATACTTGGAGGGTGGGGGTTAGCCTGCAGCTAAAAGAGCTGCCTAAAGGACCTTGTGCCCAAAGCAGCCGGTTTCCTGAAGTTCATTGTGGGACACAAATCCCATCACTCTGTATTGAGGATCTACTCCTAGATACTGTTTTCTACTAAAATTAAGCATTCTGGGAGGGGCTATACCTGGCTGGACAATGGCTTTTTGTTTACCAATATCCAAACCTTCCTGTAGGTGGCAGTATAGCCTATAACAATATCAGAATAACTGAATCCTGTGTACCTTAATTAACTTAACGAAAGTCATGTTTTTTCAATCCCACACTGCCCACTGCTACTATTTTTGATTGAATTCACTAATTTTACTAATATTGGACTAAAACAAAAAAAAACAGGGCAGTGCTGCCCAATCAGATGCCAACAGTCATTTGATTCTAGAGTTGACTAGAATAGGTAAGCAAGAACCTGGCTTGTTAGTAAATTACATTATTCACCTCCACTTTTTTTGTATGCTCCGTTCATGTTTTGTTTTTTTTAAATTACATATTTATGTTGTTTTTCCTCTCTCCTTTCAAGGAGTTTACCGAGTTTCGCAAAGAACGAGGTGCCATGTTGCTGTCTCGTAAAAATCAGCTGCTTCTGGAGTTTAGCTTCTGGAATGAACCTGTCCCAAGACCAGGACCCAACATTTATGAACTGAGGTCCTATCAGCTGAGGGTTAGTTGTTTTTTTTTCATAAAATAATGCATAGTCAATGTTTGTACTTGTCTTAATGGTGTTAATGCCGGCAAATATGCCTACAGTATGGCGGCTGAAGGACGTACTAGTGTACTATTGCCAGGATTTTGCTGTGTCTTTTAGAAAGTCTGTGAGCCTATAAGATACAGTGCTAGATTTCAGAGCAATAGTTGTGCTTGATTTGTAACACGATAGATGTAAATTATATTTGTATGTGATGCTATACTGAATATCTACTGTTTACTATGTTAGTAATACATCAGGTTTCTGTTCACCTCTGAGGTTGTAGCTCCCGAGGCCATTTAATAGTGGTCCTACAGTGTCCTTTGATCCCCCTTTTTGAGCGCTGTCTTGAAACTGGACTAGGCCCAGCTTTTATTCTCATACAAGCATCATAATGATAGCCGTGATTGACATAACTGTGAGTCCTTCACACTAAGTGGTAAGGTTGAGAGTTTCCTACTCAATAACCCCTTTTATGTATAGTACCTAGCATGCTGATGTCAGTTTTTTAAGCATGATGTTCTGTTTATGAATAAGGTAAGATTTAGTAAAATACTGAGAGGCTAGCATTTACCAGTAGAGGAACCTGATGTCAGCTTGGGCTATAGCAGATCATATTCATTTTCTGACAACTGCATCTTGCTGCTGGCATGTAACACATTTTGTAAATCAAAATAAGACTGATTTAACTAGGTTACATGTTTAGCTCTTTCCTCCATACATTTCCATTGTGCTACATGGGACATGCTTTTTTTCTCTTCCAGCCTGGAACTATGATTGAATGGGGAAACCACTGGTAAGGACGCAACCTGTTAGACTTGTATCTGTTGATCACTTATATTTAAGGCACTTTATTTAAGACTATAGGATATGGTAACCTTTTAATTGTTTAATTCTTAATAATATCACTATGTCAAATGTTCTTATTTGTACTAAGCAAAAAACATTTGATGGGTTTTGATAAGGGTATAAAGTATATCTATTTAGATATATTTACTCATATATGAAGTCAAGTATATCTAAAACCCATACTTTTTTTTTTTTGATAGGGGTTTTAATCATCCCCTACTCTTCAGTTTTTTTTTTTGCTGCCTGTATTCTATTAAGGGGATTTCGAAACTGCACAGACATCAAATCCCTCAAAAGTGAAGGAAATGCTCTTAGACTCTTAGTTACTTCAACAAGTGTACCTATTTTAAGATTTCCCATCTATTCCTGTTCCAATGACTGCTTTAAAAATTAGATTTTCCTTCACTGTCAGTCCTGGTGACAATGATTACTAGGATAAATAGAGGTTAAACCTATGGTCATAGATGGCAATAAAAATCAGATGGGGTTGCTAACCCTTTCTTAAGGTGCCCACACACCTTGCAATAATCGTACGATAATCGTGGGAAATCCTGCGATCATACGATTATCGCAAGGTGTGTGGAAGGCGTGCGACCTCTAAAGCTGACCATACACCTTACAATTATCTGCAGATTGTCTATGGTCAGATGGAAAAGGTGCAACAGATTCCTCCATCTACGCTACACTGTGTGGATGGAGTAATCTCCACCTGGGCCAATCTGTTGCAATTTTTCCATCTGACCACAAAAAATCTGCAGATAATTGTAAGGTGTATGGGCACCTTTATACTGTAAGGTTGCACAACTTTTATCTTAGGAACATGTTCGAAAACCCGCCGAGAATCGTACGGTTGTGTGGCCTGTTCGTAAGATAAATGCCGCACGGGTCGGTGTGCGCAAGCGCACACTGCCCGTTCAGCATTGTGGTCATCAAAAGCCCGCCCCTCAGGGGGCGCGGCTTGCGATCATCGCAAGTACGATCTGCCTGTACAAGATAGGCAGATCGTACGTTTTTTAATTACCTTACAACCATCACAAGACAAAAGTCTTGCGATGGTTGTTAGGTGTGTGCCCAGCATAACTCTATCCAAAACTGAAAAAAAGGTTTTGGCTTTAGATGAGCTCTAAGTTTTGGTATTTTTGAGTAATCCTCCCCTACTGGTCTCTATTCCATGCCACCAAGGGCCTTATATATCGCTAAAAGTATCTCCAGTTTTTGGCAAGGACATGTCGATGCATAATGTGCAAGAGATGACAATTCATTAAAATACTTTAAGGTGCAATGTCTATTCCACGTTACAATCTAAAGCAGAGTAATGACTTCAATAATAACTCGGCTATTTAGTATGGGGTGGTCTTCAGGATTTTGATGGAATTCTATAATTGGCATACAATATACAGTGTGCCCAGTATTTGCAAAATTGGAGTATGACGTTTTGATAGTTTGTGTATGGCTAAGGCATTAAACCTGTAGCACTACAAAAAGTAAATGGAATCGGCAAACAATATCTAACATTAGGAGGACTGTCCTAGGTTTGCAGACTCTGGCTCGGCAGATTATGGCTTTAGTTATATGTGGCAATTGTTTAACTAAAGTATGTGATTTTGTTCCTCCGTTAATGTTGCAGTTTGCATTCTGTTGCCGTTTGTGTATATGGGTACTCTGTCTGCACCTTTCTATGTACTTTTTGGTTTGTGCTCCATTCACAGTAGTTTAAAAGTAAATATCAGTCTCTTCTGAGGGTTGACTAACTCCAACAGGATGATAAGGTTTTAGAGTACTGTTGTCTTACACTGGAACACTCACTTTGAATTCTCTTCATCACTGAAACTCTGCATGTTGCTTTAAATAAACCCTTCATGCAGAACTGAGCTTGGTACACTGCATTGAATTTAACTTATCTAAAATAGAGCATGTGCACAGGCTTGAATAATGGAAGGAATTTTTAATGTTGAGGTTTCACCAGCATTTTTCTTTGTTTGGCAGGGCACGTGCCATTAGGTATCGACAGGACAACAGTGAAGCTGTTGCTGGCTTTTTCTCCCAGATTGGACAACTGTACATGGTCCATCATTTGTGGGGTAAACATCTTTTGCATCAACAAGGCCAAACTATTTGTCATGCCATTTTTTTTGTATATTGTATATAAGTTCTTTAATGCTCTGCACACATAATACCTGAGTAATCACATTAACGATATCTGCATAGACTAAGGCCTCATTCACACACAACGCAAGAGCAAAATTGTATATTGCGTATACGCGTACATGCGTGTATATACGAGCGTATGTGCGTGCACTATTTGCAATCCCACAATGCATCATTCGTAATTGAAATGTTAATGAACTGTACGCAGGTACGTGCTTATATGCGCGTAAATACGCTGCCCGGACGCATCTCGGTTCCATTCTATTTTTGCGCATTTTTACGCTTCGCAAATATACGGCTCCATACGTAGCTATGTGTATGGAGCCATTTATTTGCATATGCTGCATATTGGACAATACATGCTTAAATGCGGCAGTGTGAATGAGGCCTTATAGTTACTAGAGTACTCTTATAGATACTACAGGATTACCTACAGCTTTAAAAATGTATGTCATAGTGCAACCCCTGATGTCACTTGATCAGCCAAAGATGTATGCCTAAGTGCCAATTTCCTGCTTTCATAGCTTCAGCTGTCTCGCAGGAGCCATGAAAACGATTACTTTTTTGGTTTAGGGTTTATAAGACATATTTCTAAATGATGTACTAGTGTATGCATCATGTGAAAGCTGAACTCCAGGTAAAACTTATTATGCATACTTATATTGGACCAGCTTGGCCCAATGTAAGTATGCACATGTCATACCTGATCAGCTGCGGGGGATCCTCTGAAGCACTATAGTAGCCGAAGATACTACAGAGCTGGCTGCAATCTTCTGGGTCCTGGTACTGTGCTGTGCTGAGTGGTTTCCCCTCTGCTCTACAAACACGGGGCCACTTGCTCGGCACAGTGTCCATTCAGAGAACACCTAGTATTTTTTATTTCAAGAATACAAAGTTTTCTTGATTGGATAAGGAGCCAATCCTGACATCACTGAGCCAATCCTGACCTGTCCACTCAGAGAATGCCTTGTATTGATAAAAATACTAGATGTTCTCTGAATGGCTGTTGTGCTGCGGGAGAGACCCACTGTGTTTTCACAGCGGATGGGAAGGCACACAGCGCACTACAGGACCTGTAAGATTACGGCCAGTACTGTAGTAGCTTCGGCTTACAGGACCCCTGTGGGCCAATTAGGTATGATATATATGCATACTTAGCTGGAGTTCAACTAGAAGTTGAGGTGATATTTTCTGTCATGAGAGAAATATGTTAACTATCATTGATGAAGTCCTTCTGAAAATGCCAGTTGCCTGTCTGTCTCTGACTGGACTGCTTTACTGACTTGGTCAATGACTATAAAGATTAGGCATCCTAACTTCACTAGTTGCATACTTGTTCTAGGTCAATAAGAATGTTTTAAAGCCAGAGGATGAGCATGGTTTCCATTATTAGCATGGCTGCTACACATTTAAAAACCAAAGTTCTCTTTAACCTCCCTGGCGGTATGATTATACAGGATTTTAGCATGCCAAAGCGGTACATTGTTTTTCATGGCAATTTGTTGTTTTATATTGTAGGCCTGTAATTCTTAGTAAATCTTAGGAATAACTCAGTATCCAATTACTCCCTTTGCTGACCATACTACATAACCGTTTATGTAGCTGCCAAAAGAGGAGTGCAGGGGAATACTACAGACTTCCAGATTTGAGTCTACTGGGGCTGCTGACATCATGTCCAAGCTTGTGGCACCCAGTAGCAATCTCAGGGCTTTTGGATGCCTAGGCCAGCAAGGGTTTTATAGATAAATGTTAAAATGTGTGTTTCACTGCAGGGTATCTTTGCTTTCTTTAATCCATGATGGAATTAAAAATCAAATCATTCACTTCATGGCTGCTGTTTTGTTCTTAGCTTTTACTATTATTTCTTTCTAGCTTACAATGACTTGCAGAGCAGGGATGACATTAGAAATTCAGCCTGGCAGAAAGATGGCTGGGATGAATGTGTCTACTATACTGGTAAGAGATAAAAAAAACTTCAAGTACACTATAAAGTTTTAGAAAATTGAATAAATTTACCTTGCTTATTGGTTGTAGTGCTATACCCAGAATTGTTTCCTCCAATAAAGGGTTGTTCTTTACCTATGTTTCCTGGCTGCAAATCCGCCATCAGGATCCACTTAGTAATACTTGCAATACTACCGGTTAAAAACAAATGTATTTGATTTGGATGGCTTTTGGCAGTGTTTGGTGCTTTACTGGATCTTAACAGGTACCCTGGCAGAGAGATGTCGCCCCACTCTCAGCCTGTTGGGGTGAGTCTGCCCAATAGAGGCTTCCAGACAGAAGTAGGAAGCCAGCAGAGAAATGAAACCTGCCTCCTGTTTACAAGGTTGAAATAAATTAATTTTGGGAGGAGTTATGCTTTAATTATTACATTACGTCAGTAAAGACACTATTTCCAAAGTTGGAAAAAAACATGTCCTGGAGAAAACAAAACATGGGGAAGCTGGGATAAGATGGAAAGTTCCCCATCAGGTCTGCTACTCTGGTGATTGACAGCAGACAGTGGGTGGATTCCTTGGCTTTATATACAGCCTGCTGTTGGCTATGACATCAGCCCCCTGCCTACTGTTAATCACTAGAAGAGTAGACCTGATGGGGGAACTAGTCTTTCTGCACCCCCATCGGGCTCCATCCAATATCGTCAACACTGGTTTTTATGAACGTGAAACTGTGCTGTGTATTGATTTCCAAGGATGGCCCTTTCCTTTTATCTGTTATTCCTGTATATGTTATTTTCACTGTAAGTGGAAGCAGTTACACTTTTTTAACAGGTTATGTTTTTCAGTTCCTCTTATACAGGAGATGGAATCCAGAATTATGATCCCACTGAAGAGCTCTCCTCTGCAGTAATCCACTGTGTCCTCCTCGTGCCTTAACTGACAACAATGGCAGATTTCTCTGTGGATTACATAAGCAATGAATGAACATATACAAACTCCCAAAAGAAACATTATTTGTGCAATTCATAATTCTGTGTGTGTTTAATCATGTAGGCCTGCCAGTTTTCATATCTGTTTTAATTTCTTTGTGACCATTGATCCGGTAATAACCACTGTCAATGTTGAGACCTGACACATACTGCATACTGTTTTCTCTCTGTGATAATAGTGCTGCTTTTCATTTCTCGGCCAGTGGAAGCTCTTCTAAATTGACATTTATATACATTTAGGCTAGGTTCACACCTCTGCGACACCCGGGACGCGCCATCATGTGCTGGTGCACACAGCAGTTGCAACGCGGCCCCATTGATTTCAGTGCGGTGACATCTGCACGGCAATCGCTTAAAAAAAAAAAAAAGGTACAAGTACCTCTTTTTTTTTGCTACACACAACGCATGGCTTTTTTTTAGCCGCAATCGTGTTTAATTGCACGGGCGGAATTGCGGTGAGAAACCTCGCAATCCGTCTGGGGTGCCATTCGAAAATAATGGCACCCACAGCATGATTGGCTGCGGTGGGCGACGGCAATCCGTGCGGTTTTGTGCACGATTGCCGGACGGTCCGCAGTTGCCCAGGTGTGAACCTAGCCTAATATATACAAGATATACTGTACATTTATCTAATTTCTTGGTTATGAGGACTATTGAAATATCAGGTTTGTAAGGGCATATACTTATCCGTGTTCCTTGTCTTAGACTTTATCAAAAAAAAGAGAAGAGGAGGATTCATGTTTAAAAATATTTAAAGCCAAAAATTTTTGTATGCATTTGGAATAGAGTAGGGAATGGTTAAGATCCCTGGCAGTTTTTTTTCTTCAAATGTCTCCAAGTTATGGGAAATGCCTTCAAGTTGTCACTGGAACTAGGGTCCCATTGGTGCATTTCAGCAATAGTAACCTGACAATAGTCCATCCCGCAACTTCACCTTTAATGCCAATAAGTGCGGGGACCTTGTAATATACTAAGGTGGCTGCATTGACAAAATTGTGCATAAACAAAAAATAAAAACACCATTGTTTCAAAGACAATATGACCTCCTTTCGTAAGGTGAAAGACAATTTTTCATTGCAATATTGACCTTTTCTAAATGACAAGGTCTGTAACCTTATGTGTGTGACCATTTATTCTTACAAATAAAAATCTGACAGGGATCCTAATAGCACCCTTCTCCAACGCTAAAAAAAATGTATTGTAACAAAATGCTCCCATTTTCTTCATGTGTTTATTTACATTTTTACAGACCCATTAGGACACCTATTGAAGGTCGGGCCATTGATTTGCATTCAGCTCCGCACAGCAAGTCTTCATCACCTATACATAAATGAAGTTTATGAAGTCTGCTGATTAGCAGATAACCTAGTGCAGGGGTAGGCGACCTCCACATGCCAACTGGGGGCGAAACTGCAAATCCAATCATGCTTCCAGGAGTCATGCCTTTGGCTGTCAGGGTCTTGGAATGTCTCATGGGACTTGTAGTTACACAACAGCTGGAGTGCCAAGGTTGCCTACTGCTGACCTAGTGCATACAGATTAATTGTGATTTGTGGAAAACGTGGATTGACAAATGCATAGTCAAGTCAATTGCTGAATCACAAATCATCTCTGCCTGTCCTGAACCCAGACTGTAATATACAGGCTGCATGAATCTGCTCTGCAGCATGTTTCAGAGGAGGCAGTTTGAAGTGGACTGCTATGGTCTCTGAAAGGCGCCAAAGCAAATGTTCACCAGAGAAGCTACTGAGATCTGTCATGCATGTGCTAGCAGTCATCAGGTCTCTGAGCTTCAGTAGGCATCAGGCTGCCTTTCAGTATTTCAGCAGTGTGTATAACTGATTGGCAGGTGTTCCACTTTGGTGAAAACTTGAAAAAAAATCTTTCCCTGTAGTTCAAATATTTTTTGATATGACAGCAACCACTTCATTCTGGTAATACCTGTCAGGTCTCTCCAGTCTTCATTTTCGGTCTAGTTCCATTCTTTTCTTTGCTCAGTCTTATTCTACTGTTCATCCCACATTATTGCAACTGTAATGTTACAATTAGGCGGCAAATGTTTGTTTATGGTGATATAAGGTATAAACGGAGAAAAGGTTACAGACCCATAGCCAAGTACTTTTGGAATGTGTGGATTCATTTACATATAGGTCAGGCTTATTTTCTTTATGGGCACTGTTTATTATTTGGTCTCATTAAAAGGTGGTTCTGAGTTTGTCTTTTGTCTTACATTTAAAAAATACAGCAAAGCTGGTCAATTACAGGAACACCAGCAATAGGACAGGTTCTTCTCAGCTGCAGACTACACACTTATCTTCCAGAAGAATCTGGGTATTTGCGGTAACTGGGATAATACTACATGGTCATTGGGTGACTGCTTATCATGGGAAAATCTTTATCCCTCACTGTCATCATAGCACATATTTGTACACTGTTATAATATTATGTGGCATCGTGTGTGTAAACATACATTGGGTTTTCTGCTAAATGATGACAATAAAATCATTTTATTTGACATGACGTTTTGTATTCTCATTGTGCTTTTACGTAGAATGTTATTTAAGTAGCTTGATGCACATAGGAAAGGAGATTTGATTACAGGTATGCTGTAAAAAGTAGTGTATACATAAGACTGAATAGGCATACTTTTAAATTCTAATTCCTAGCACAGGATTTTGCTCCAGTGCTGGTGTCAGCCATAGAAGCCTTGTTGATGCTGGCAAGGGGCTGGAGGTTCCACTGGAGCTGTACTATCTGTGGAAACTAAACGGAGGCTTTTTCACGTTTAAAGTAAGCACGTTACAAAAATAAAGGGCAGTGGTAAACACAGTTTTGTATTGAAAAAATATATATTTTACATAAAATATTTAAAAAAAACAAGGTACTGTTTCAGGGTATATTCCACCCCGCACTGTGACGCAGCGCAAGAACACCACATAGCAATATAACACATTTATTTACAGTATTACAGGTATTTACAATATCTCACAGAAGTGAGTACACCACTCACATTTTTGTAAATATTTGTAAAGTAGTGAGTGTACAGCTTGTATATCAGTGTACATTTGCTTTCCCCTAAAAATAACTCAACACACAGCCATTAATGTCTAAACCGCTGGCAACAAAAGTGAGTATACCCCTAAGTGAAAATGTACAAATTGGGCCCAATTAGCCATTTTCTCTCCCCGGTGTCATGTGACTCGTTAGTGTTACAAGGTCTCAGGTGTGAATGGGGAGCAGGTGTGTTAAATTTGGTGTTATCGCTCTCACTCTCTCATACTGGTCACTGGAAGTTCAACATGGCACCTCATGCCAAAGAACTCTCTGTGGATCTGAAAAAAAAGAATTGTTGCTCTACATAAAGGTGGCCTGGTCTCTAAGAAGATTGCCAAGACCCTGAAACTGAGCTGCAGCACGGTGGCCAAGACCAGTGGCGTAACCAGAGGGTGCCTGGGGCAGAACAAAATGTTGCGCCCTCCCCCGGGTCTCAGGAAGCTGTCTCCTGCAGAGACCCCCTGAGGCCCTGCAGTCTGCCGGATCTCAGGAAGGCTGTGCAGGATCTGAGGTGGGCTTTGCAGGCTGCAGAGACCCCTATGGAGGCTGTAAAACCCCCCACAGATCCTGCAGAGACCCCCTGAGGCTCTGCAGTCTGCTGGATCTCGGGGGCTGTGGGGGGCTTTGCAGGCTGAAGACCCCTATGGATTCTGTAAAGCCCACAGATCCTGCAGAGACCCCCTGAGACTCTGCAGTCTACTGGATCTCAGGGGGGGCTTTGCAGGATCTGTGGTGGGCTTAGAGCCACCCACGGATCCTGCAGAGACCCCCTGAGGCCCTGCAGTCTGCCGGATCTCAGGGGGATGTGCAGGATCTGTGGGGTGCTTTGCAGGCTGCATAGACCCTTATGAATCCTATAAAGCCCCCCACAGATCCTGCAAAGCCCCCCACATATCCTGCAGAGACCCCGTGAGACTCTGCCGGATCTCAGGGGGGCTGTGCAGAATCTATGCTAGGTCCTGCCAGAACAGTTGTTATACCTGGCACGGGAAAACAAGCCTCCTCCGCTGCCCCGGCGCCCAATCATCGTTGCTTCTGGAGCCTCCTCCATCTCCGCCTTCTCCGCTGCAGTCATCGTACCCGTCTCCTCCATCTTCACCCCGCCTCTTCCATCTCCACCGGGCGTCCGCCCCCTGCCACTCCATCCCCCGTCTCCTCCTGCTCTCCCATGACGGCATTCAGCCAGTGGCGTAAAACAACCGGGGGGGGGCGGCACACGCCCGGGGCAGACGCACCGCCCCCCGGTTTGTTACGCCACTGGCCAAGACCATACAGCGGTTTAGCAGGACAGATTCCACTCAGAACAGGCCTCGCCATGGTCAACCAAAGAAGTTGAGTGCACGTGCTCAGCGTCATATCCAGAGGATGTCTTTGGGAAATAGACGTATGAGTGCTGCCAGCATTGCTGCAGAGGTTGAAGGGGTGGGGGCTCAGCCTGTCAGTGCTCAGATGATACACCGCACATTGCATCAAATTGGTCTGCATGGTGGTCGTCCCAGAAGGAAGCCTCTTCTAAAGATGATGCACAAGAAAGCCCACAAACAGTTTGCTGAAGACAAGCAGACTAAGGACATGGATTACTGGAACCATGTCCTCTGGTCTGATGAGACCAAGATAAACTTATTTGGTTCAGATGGTGTCAAGCGTGTGTGGCGGCAACCAGGTGAGGAGTACAAAGACAAGTGTGTCTTGCCTACAGTCAAGTATGGTGGTGGGAGTGTCATGGTCTGGGGCTGCATGAGTGCTGCCGGCACTGTTGAGCTACAGTTCATTGAGGGAACTATGAATGCCAACAAGTACTGTGACCTACTGAAGCAGAGCATGATCCCCTCCCTTCGGAGACTGAGCCGCAGGGCAGTATTCCAACATGATAACGACCCCAAACACACCTCCAAGACGGCCACTGCCTTGCTAAAGAAGCTGAGGGTAAAGGTGATGGACTGGCCAAGCATGTCTCTAGACCTAAACCCTATTGAGCATCTGTGGGGCATCCTCAAATGGACATTTTCACTTAGGGGTGTACTCACTTTTGTTGCCAGCGGTTTAGACATTATTAATGGCTGTGTGTTGAGTTATTTTGAGGGGACAGCAAATGTACAATGATATACAAGCTGTACACTCACTACTTTACATTGTAGCAAAGTGTCATTTCTTCTGGGTCATCACATGAAATGATATCATAAAATATTTACAAAAATGTGAGTGGTGTACTCACTTCTGTGAGAAACTGTATATAGCTTTTACAATTTACACAACGCTTTATATAGAGCATATTCACATCAGTCCCTGCCCTGAAGGAGCTTACAATCTAATTTCCCTACCTTACATGCATACATACAGGGCCAATTTAGACACGAGCCAATCAACATTCCAGCGTGTGGAGTGTGGGAGGAAACCCACACATGTGCCACATGTGAAAATATTCACACAAATAAAGGAGCCACTATTTTTTCTAATCGCACTGCACTGGAACGCAGGCTATCTGCGGTGCCATTGACATGAATGGCACCACCATGCCCCCCTTCTGACCCAGATTGCGGCCTGGCTTGATTTTATGCAATCCAGTCGTTTGCGAGCTCAAACCTACCCGGAACACATTGAATATGGTGTGACTGGGCCCCTAAAGTGTATTTCCACTTTTGCAGTCAAATTTAAGAAAACCCTACTATGTTTTGTGTTCCTATTCACACAGCTTACTTAAAAATAATTAAAATGCATTTACATACAATGTACGGCCTAGGCTTTGAGAAGTTTAAACTTTTGTTAGGACAGTTGTTCAAATCTAGTTTTCAACTGATAATGAGATCTGTCAGCAGTGGCGTCACGCGGGGGGTTTTACCCGCACCGGGTAAAACCATCGGAGGGGGTGACAACAAAATGACTGACAGTTATTTTGGTGTCACCCTCTATGAAAAGTCGGGCACTCAATCATGGAACTAAGAGCCCAACGGTTGCACGTGAGAGGAGGGGACTTTAAAGATCTTTTCAAGTGTGTGCCAGTGAAATACCTTTCACTAGTGTTTGCACGGCGCCATCCGTGTGGCCACCTGGAGCACCACATATACCTTGTAAACTTTCAGACCGTGGCAGTGCGAATGGGATTTGGAGTTTGCTGAGAGGAGGGGACCCGGCCGCATACCTTATCCTGCCAGGTGAACGACCCCTCCTCTGTTTGCCGGCGTCCATCACCATGATGGCCGCCGGCAGGTAAGCGCATGTGTTGTCATTATGCACGTGCGCAATGACATCCCAGTCTTGCGATGGTTGTAAGGTGAAAAGATGTTAATCTGCGCTGATAGATAATTAATTAATATCATGGGAAAATAAAGCTGCCACAATAAGGACAGTAGGTCCTAAAAGTGAAAACAATGAATTTGCGGCGCTAAACCCCCCTTAAAATGTATTAACTAAATAACATGTGCCTTTCTATCGCAATGATGTATCATACATTATTATACAGGATTTATGCAGCACCAACAGTATGCATAGTGCTTTACATATTATGAAGTAGGGATGCACTGATGCTGATACTAGTATCGGTATCGATGCCGAGTATTTGGGCGAGTACTTGTACTCGTCCAAATGCTCCGATGTCTAGCCCGATACTTGAGCCACCGGGTGATAACACTGCTGTGCGATGGGGTAGTTGTAGATGGACATGCACTTTTCACTGCTCCTCCAGACCTCTCTGCTGGGTACAAAGCAGTTAAAGTAGAAGTGAAGCCAAAAAATGTTTCCGTTGTGGATAGAGGTAGGGAAGGCTATAACCCCTGTCAGCTTTTTTGCTATTTGTGCCCAATTGAGGAGATTTATGTTAACTTACTGTCCAATAGCTTCAACAGGAAGTCTACGGGGAAAAATGGAAACTGGTTTGTTTTTTTAAATTTCGGTAATTTTTCCTTAATATAGTAAAAAAATAAAACCCCCAGTGGTGAATAAATACCACCAAAAGAAAGCTCTATCTGTCCCCAAAAAAGGGTATAAAATTCATTTCAGTACAGCGCTGCATGACGGAATAAATGTCAGTTAAAGTACCGCAGCGCTGAATACTGAAAAATGGCCTGGATGGGAAGGGGGTTTAACACCGCGGATGTCAACTGGTTAAGAGAGAGTGAATCTGTCTAAGGGGGGCACAGACAGCAATACAAACCTGACAGTTGTTCTAATCCCTCTTCACCCCACCTAAAACAATACAAACTTTTGGGTTTCAGTATGCCATATAGCCTGTCCTGGGACCATTCGTAGCATGTGATTGGACTATGACGGAACTGCGGCACTCTGATGAATGATAATGATGCTTTGTGCTTTTATCTCCGCTCAGGAAATTCGGTGTTAGATTGACAGTACTGTGCAATGCGGTACTTCCCAGGTACAGTCTCATGTAAGGCCTCATTCACATTGACAAACCTGCATTTATAGGACATTTCTAAATGTGTGTAATAATTTTAACGGTATCTTTCAAACTGTGTGTTTATGTGCGATCAGTTTTGCTGCATTTAGAGAAAGCAGAAGTCTGTGTGTCCAGAATCCATGAAGCCCTGGTTGACTCCTTTGCGTGTGTGCTACAGCATAGGTGAGCGTATGTGCTTTCTATGCAGGTTAAGGTGTGGTGTGTTTTGGCAGCCCATTCATGTCAATGGACTAGCCAGTGTGTGGCAGTTTCATCACAGAAGTGCACTGCACCATGATACTTTTGTATCTCGCCATGTGTTGTGCTACAATGCATGTGTGTTAGCAGGCAGGTTTGGGGCAGCAAACATAGATATGTTTTTGTGCACTGCAGGAATGTGCTTGATGTCACACTTGTTGCCCCGCCACACAGGTGTGATGGGGACTAAACACAGGTAAACAAAGCTAAACCTATGTAATGGCAGGCACATCTAAACGCATAGATAGATAATTTCTCCTGTGTATGATTAATCTAAACCCAGGAGTCCTCATAAGCATGTAGCACAGGGGTGGGCAACCTCAGCGCTCCAGTTGTTGTGGAACTACACGCCCCAGGAGGCATTACAAGATTCTGACAGCCAAAGGCATGGGATGGGATTTGTATTTTCACCACAGCTAGAGTGCCAAGGTTGCCTACCTCTGATTTAGTGAATTCCACTCAATGAGGACATACTACGACTGGAGCAGACAAAATCTGGAGCAGTTAGCCATAGCACCAATCAGCTTTTATCTTTCATTTTCAAAGCTTAACTGAACTGAAGGGAGAAGCTGATAGGGTTCTATTGACAACTGCATCAGTTTTAGTAAATTGCCAGCTTTGTCCTGCACATTTGCAGCATATCTGCACTCTGACAGCCTACTGTGGCATTCCATACACTGGATATAATGTAAAGTCAGGGGACGCTGATGAGGCACTAGCAGGCTGACCAGCAGCGCTCTCCCCTATAGTAATAACTTGTTGCGATAGACAGCCCCAAATAGTTCCCTCGGTAACCACGATCACGTGTTACTTCCACCCCCCATAACGAACTTTATGCAGATCTCGCGAGTTGACTCGACGTACGAGAAGAGCGCAGCCAATGGCAGAGCACGGGCGACTGCTCAGCCAATCCTGTGTGGCAAAGGGCGGTCTGTGTCGGCTAAGCACGCTAGATTGTTCTGGAAGCGCCGAACGCGGCGTGCAGTGACGGTGGAGTTCTGAGCATTGTCTCCTGCACGCGGTTCTACTGCGAACCTACATCATGTCCGCCGTCAAAGCATTGAACCCGAAAGCCGAGGTGGCCCGTGCCCAGGCGGCTCTCGCCGTGAACATCAGTGCGGCCCGCGGCCTCCAGGATGTGCTGAGGACCAACCTCGGGCCTAAGGGGACCATGAAGATGTGAGAACTGTGTGAATGTGTATGGTGACACGCCTTGGTTGTGTGCGCGCACGGTTTTATCAGGGCCTGGGGTGTATTGCTTATAATCCGGCCAGCGCCCATTCATATGGGGGTTCGTGGCGGGATATGGGCACTACCATTTATGGTCATGGTGTGAGTCCGCATGGTGCTGACAACGTTTACACGGCGTCCATGCTTAGCTGGTGCCGAGGTCTGTATGCATGTGTCATGGCTGTGAGTGAAGTAACATTATTATCTATGGGGGATGCTTTCTGTATTTCATTGGGGTTATAGTGTTTTATGAATCGATCCGATCTCTATATTATGTGCTCATACATTTCAGGCATTTCATTTTACACAAGATCCCCTTTAGCAGCCATTGAATACTTCATTGATTCCCCATCTCTAAAGGGAGACCGAGAATTTGGGCCACCAGGAACTTGCACCTCCTGCTTCTGGAACTTAGACATAGTCCAGCTTTGTTTAAAAGAAAATACTATTTGTTTTTTATGCATTTGATCCTGCAAAGCATTGCAGCTGTAATCAGTGGGTGCAATGCTCTGGAATTTCAGGGCCCGTTCACACCAGATGCAGTGAGTTCTGGCCAGAATGCACTGCCTCTCTTTGCGGCCGGCTCACTTTTGTGTGGGGTAGAAGGGGGTGTGGTGGTCCCTTGAAGTGAATAGCACCGTGGCCATGCGCCTGGTCCGGTGTAATCAAAATGCTGCAAGCACTTTTTTGATCGCACCGGACCGCAGGCATAATGTGCCTTGCGATCCCGTGCGGCCAATTGCATTGCGGCCGGAGGGCGTGGCTATGGTGCCATTCAGTTCAATTGTTCGTCATGCCCCCTCCTGTCCCACTAACAAGTGAGCTGGCCGCAAGGCAGTGCATTTCGGGCCGGAACGCTCTGCAACTGGTGTGAACAGGCCCTCAGTTACAGGGACCGGAGGAAGTGTAAATGGGCTACTAGTGCCGTGACCACGCCTCACTTGTATGCCATGGAGAACTACAAGTTCCTGTGCCATGGTGACAGATGGGACTTGTAGTCTCTGTTCAGAGAAAACTGAATAGATTATCTGATTGTGAGGTTGAAGCCGTGCTGAAGTCAAATGATGACAGTAGGTGGTGGGGAGAAGAGCCCCACAATTCAGGGAAGGGGAGGTGTCCATGTCACTGTTTCATGTTACATCTTCAATATGGGTGAAACTTCAAGCCTAGTCTAAAATGCAAAATTACCCTTTGAATATTTTGATGCAGTTTGAGAACTCTTCCCAAATGGGCTTATGTATGAATTGGTGTATTCAGTTTTTAAATAATTATAATTGTTCAGGCCCATGTCCTGAGATCAGAATCAAGCTGTCAGATCTCTAAATCAAGTATTGGGTTTATCCAGAATACGTACATCTGAATTAAAGAAGAATTATGGAGAGAGTGAAATACTCATCCCAATAGTTAGAGCCAACGTGTGACACTGAAGCTGTCACAGGTCAGCTCTATTGATCGCGAACTGAGTGATCACATACCGCCGATCTCTCGATTCACGGTCTTCTCCCTGCAGAGACTCCAATTCCGGCAGGGATCCACCCCTCTCCATTCCTCTAACGCTGACAGGGGAGGGGGCGGGCACACCTGGCTCTGCCTTCAGAGAGGTAGAGACGGCTGTCCGTCAGGCACTGGTGTGGATCCCCACAATATTGTTGGGATCCCTCTGACCACAGCGCGGCTCTGCACTGTCAACATGTAGTGTGCAAAAGCCTTCTATATGCTGAGTTTTAGGTCAGAAGAGAATATAGTAAATACCCTTCGGCTGCCAATGACACGTCCTACATGTCATGGCACTTGAAGAGTTAAAACAATAGCAGTTTGTTTTAAAATTCATCTTCTGGCTATAATGTAGAAGTAATCAGGATATCTGTAAAGGCGCAATGTATTACTTCTATGGACTGTGGCAATG